TAACATGCCAATGATGTTTGGTTTCGATCATCGCGATCGATGCGCGTAACAGCTGTGTGGAATCGGTGACTCGCGCTCGCACACGTAACATATGGGCTTCACGTGGCTCTGGTCAAATTTGCAGACAAACGACGCTCTTGGCAGCACGTACAACTGGATTTACTTTATACCATTGATCGTCCTTGGCTCATTCTTCATGCTGAACTTAGTTCTCGGTGTTCTGAGCGGGTGAGTATCTTCATTCTTGAATTCTCTAACCGGCTAACAACCGTTCGTTCCCTCCGTGTTAACCTACTTTATTTTTCTGAATGGCCATTTTTACCGAAGGACCATTTACGAGGGCGCGACATATCTGCGCCAAATTCACTCAGAGATTCGAATAATTAAATTAGTTAGTTAATTCTCTAATTTTGATCATTTGAATATTGATTATTTGTTTAATTATTCTTGCTATTAGATATTAAATATCTTGAGTTGTTTTGGATTATTATTAAATTATATATTATATAATTAATCTATCTTAAAGATCCTTTAATCATTTACATATGATATACACGTAACTTATTACAATTGAAATCGTTATGTCTAACTCGTCATACGAAATATAATAATTATAGATGGTATATATTATACCTAATTCATATACTTTTCAATATAAAATAAAATCTTGAGGAAATAACGATATATATTCTTTAGAAGAACAAGAAGAATTATTTCGATATCACACTTATCCATTCCTTATCCAACTTCATCTCGAAAAGATCAAAAAATAATAACAATAATTACAAAACGAGATGTAAGAATCTTAATAACGAAAAGAAAAAATTTTTTAAATTCACTTTTCTTCCCTCGTTTTTATTACCCGCAAGTAGTATATTTGCCCATTTGTCGGGCAAATAATCTGACTGATTCGTCACTTCGGAGGGGAATTCCTTCGATCGAAGTGCGAACGACCCTGCGCCGGGTCAGGTTCCTTCCCCTCCTCCTTGATCCCCCCCCCCAATGGAAAGAAACGGCCGATTACCTTTCTTTTTGTTCGTCAGGGAGTTTTCGAACGAAAGAACACGCGTCGAGAGGCGGGCGGCTTATCAGAAAGCAAAGAGAAAGCGTCTATTCACGACTGCGTTCGGTGCCTACTTAAAGTGGATCACTCAAGCAGGTTTCTCGAAAACGATCGATCTTCCCTCAAGTTTATCGGCGCGCTAGTCGTTTACTCGCGCTACTTGCTCCGCGAGCCCGCCATTCGAGTCGCTAGTGGCAGTAGTGTAGCTAGATTAACGCTCCAGCCAGTGATAGTAACCTATGACTTTTCTCCCGAAAGAGAGAAAGTGTGTTACAGAGTGTGACGCTTTTGAGGATAAATATCTCGGATAACAATGTAAAATCCTTGCTAGATACACGTGTGATGGGATTGGGGATTATCATTGAAATGGAATTTTATTTATTTTGCTTTATTATATTCTTGATTTATATATTTCAAATTACGATATTATTTAAAAATGTATATTGGAGAAATTATTTTAATGTTTGTTATATAGAGATTATATTTATGTAATCTGTGTATTTATTTAGAATCTTTGAAATAAAACTTATGTTTTTTCAAGTTTCTTTTTATTTTGTCAAATAAAATTTTAGAATTTATTTTTTCTTTTATTCGGTATTTTTATTTCAAATAAAATGTATCCAATTCCGTGAAGATATAACAAGATTAAACTTGTTTTACTTGAAATATAAAATAATATATAAAAAAAAGAATTGTATAAAATAAAAATTAAATTCATTTGTGACTAAACAGGGAAATAAATATAAATATCTAAGTACCAAATGAAATAACAAATATTAAAATAAAAAGGAAAATTTTATTCGAATATTCAGACACGTTTGAACAATAAGAATTTATTTCAATATAATCCAATCTTGCAGTATTACTCGAATATTTGCTAGAAAAATGTATCTTGAAAAATATACCAAGTATTTATCTCGAAACGATCCTGCAATACCCCTCTATCATCTATGTAACGCTTGTAGAGAGTTTGCGAAGGAGAGAGAAAAGGTGGAGAACCGGCAGTCCTTCCTCAAATTGCGAAGACAGCAGCAGCTCGAGCATGAACTGTACTGTTACCTGAATTGGATCTGCAAAGCAGGTTAGAAAGTCAACACGCCCAGCTACATCAATTATCAATCGTCCTTTACCAAGGCTGATGCCTCCTTAGGAGAAACTTTCGTTGCTTTCGTCCAATTTTTTTTCTTTTTCTTTTCTCTTTTTTTTTTAAGTAATTTTACGCCTCCAACGATAAGTCGATGATTTTTCTTTCCTTTCTTTCTTTCTTTTTTTTTTTTTTTTTCTTTTTTTTTTTAAGTAATTTTCCGCCCCCAACGAAAAGTCGATGTTTTTTCTTTCCTTTCTTTCTTTCTTTTTTTTTTTAAGTAATTTTCCGCCCCCAACGAAAAGTCGATGTTTTTTCTTTCCTTTCTTTCTTTCTTTTTTTTTTTAAGTAATTTTACCCCTCCAACAATAAGTCGATGATTTTTCTTTCCTTTCTTTCTTTCTTTTTTTTTTTTTTTTCCTCTTTTCATTTCATTTCGCTCTTCCAATCGTGCACAACGATTAAACGTTCTGCTGTTATTTATAGAGGAGGTAATACTCGCGGAAGAAAGGACCACAGAAGAGGAGAAAAAGCACATATTAGAAGGTTCGTGCCGAGTTATTCAATAAAATATAGCGGGATGTAGAATTGAATTAATTTTAATTTTATATTCGTTTCTTCAAATTAAAATTCGAACGAAGATATACCGATTTTCTCCTTCATATTTTCGAAAGTTGTGTTTCATGAATGTGTATATTTCTTTTGTAGGAAGAAAAAGAGCCGAGGCGAAGAAGAAGAAGCTCGGCAAGAGCAAAAGTACGGACACGGAGGAAGAGGAAGGCGATGACGACCAGGATGACGGTGAGTTGTATTTTTCCCTCTTATCGTTATCCTTTGTATCTCTGCGCGTGATTTTGCGATGATTTTCTTAATTAATCCCTCTCGAGATCAAAAAGAAATTGATTTAGGCCAGTGTTTCTCAACCTTTTTCTAATATTCTTTACACAACTCTCCATTCGAATAACTATTGGCATCATTAAGTTAAATCTTCTAAGAAAAAATTTCAATCTATAAAAGAACAACGAGTAAAGAACAATAAATTATTTGTAGATCATGATTCTCCAATTCCTCTTTTCTTCGTACAACCCCCAAAATTCGAATTTGATAAAATCTTAGATTATACAATCTTTATGGATTTTTATACTATCCAAACAAATAGACACAATTTATCGATATAACATACGACTCATTGATGAATCAATGATGGGTTGAGAACCACTGACTCGATCCAGGCGAGCGAAGAATGAAAAGAATCGATGTTTACGACGTTTACATTATTCTCTTATCGATCAAAAACAAAAAAAAAACCATCTTATCTCGTAAATCTCAACAAATCTCGAAACATTGACTCGCTTTCCATTTCACTTGGAGATCTCTCCCTTCGATGGAGCGTTGCCTTCCATCGACA